GGGCATACACTGGAAAGCCTTGAAAGCCAACACATCTGCAGTAGAAGTCTGCGGTGCGAGGTGGGCAAACAACTGCTACAGCACCTGTGCAGTCTTTGGCCAAACTTTCCATTAATGTCAGGTGGTAAATATTTTGAAGTTTTCTCATTTCATTTTCTTCTTGCTTAACAATTTTTTTGTGCTTACCAGAACCTTGTATAGCTGTCCTGGTATTGTCAGTATGGTGCACTGATGAGGGGAGGAGCTGAAAGACCTTTTGGGGAGTTTGAGTGGAATTGTTCTAACATTAACCTTCTCAAAGTTAGATGTCTAACTTAAAAGAACCGTTTAGATACTCTATAATTAAAGGAGAGACATCAGTACCTCCAAAGGATATGATATAACCTTGCCTAAGATAAGCATTTAAGGTAGATGGGATGAGTCCGTGGAAGTGCTCATACCTCTCCATTGAGAGGAGAGGAAACCAATTCATCTTCCTTAGGCCAGATGCCTACTTTGTACCTGGATAAAGTTATTTGCAACAAATATTTATAGTTAACTTTAAACAAGAAAATAATTGTTGCTATGAAACTATCTTTTTTTTTAGGTCCTTAGAGATAAAATATTAAAAGCAAAACTGAAACAACTGAAATATCTTGATACTTCCTTCTTTTAAAGTGAGGTGACTACTCCTGCCATACAACTCTGTTCTGCCCCATGGCTTTTGGAAAATTAGGTGGTAGAAAATAGCAGTCACAGTGAGGGTACCCAAAACAAAGACAGTGAACATATAATTTAGGAAAAAAATATTAGTTCTATATTATTATTTTTATAATTTGCGTGTTTTATATTCAAGTTGTTTATAGGAAATACTTGAAGATAGGCCATGTTGACTATAGGGGAGGGTCTTATGCAACACAAGTGAATTGTTGAGGCTGGTCTGGGTGGATAACTCGTGCTGCTTCTTATGTATTATATGATGAGGTGATACACGGAAGGTTTTCATATCCATAGGAGATCAAACTGCCTTTCATGAATACAAAATTTCATTCCCTATAAGGGAACACCTCCTAGTATCCAATACTTGTAGAGGGACAGAAGTCTCATCCAGCTGGTGGAACATTGCACATTTTCTTCTGTAGATGATTCATATTCCTCGTTCTCCTCCTCAGTAGAACTAAGTGCACTGAGTGAACACGAGTGTGTTGAATCAGAAAGAGCTTCTTTGGGGACAGGAGCCACATGTTCTTATTTTTTGTGTTTTTTTTGAATGCTTTAAATATTTCACTACTGAGCAAGATACAACCCTTCTTGTGGGACTTAACTGTGGAGAAGCCAGAGGGGACCACTGAGTGGTGGCAACAGGATTTTGGGTTGGGAGTGTAGAAGCCACATAAAATGATGCTAATAGAATAAGCCAGATAAACAATAAATCTGTGCTTTTACTTGCCATAGAAAGGAGGTAAACATAATTCCTCACACCCTTCTTTCAAAATAGGAAGACTACTCAAAAGATTATAGAAAATCATGTTTTGAATGCTGAGAACATTAACCTCATTTTCTGCCCCAGGGCTTGGCACTTTACCTAACAACTAGAAGGTGGGTTTTTTTTTGTTTGTTTGTTTTTTAAAGGTTAGTGTCCTCTGAAAAATTCAGAGGGTGCAAAAGTACAGAAAGGAGTTTCCTGGACTTTTCTAATCTGCTTGCTAACCTCAGCCACATCTCCACATCTGACAAGGGATTAATGTTAAGATTAGTTTTTACAAGTTTCGTAATAGGCAGGTGAAGAAAAACCCTGAGAGTGCCATGACTGTGGAAACACGGGAATATAAAATAATGCTGTGCTGTACTGTGCATCAGAGAATTCCCACAGGAATGTGGGAACATTTATGTGGGCATCCTCAAAATTCAGATTATATGTACCATAAAGGTATGTCATCCCCTGATGGAAGGGAACTTAACGTAAAAAAAAAAGGGGGGGGCATTGATTGTTTAGGAATATCAGGGCATATAGAAAGATGATAGGTTATTGAGGGTAGGTTATTGAGGAGATGATAGGTTATTGAAAGGCTCTGCGCTCTGCAGAGGGACCTGGACAGGCTGGATCGATGGGCCCAGGCCAACTGTATGAGGTTCAACAAGGCCAAGTGCCGGGTCCTGCACTTGGGCCACAACAACCCCATGCAGCGCTACAGGCTTGGGGAAGAGTGGCTGGAAAGCTGCCCAGCAGAGAAGGACCTGGGGGTGCTGGTCGACAACCGGCTGAACATGAGCCGGCAGCGTGCCCAGGGGGCCAAGAAGGCCAATGGCATCCTGGCCTGTATCAGAAATAGTGTGGCCAGCAGGAGTAGGGAAGTGATCGTGCCCCTGTACTCGGC